CCCCCCCCCCCCCCCAAAGTTTCGTTGCTATTTTTGTTTTTCGGCCCCGGTTTGGTTCCTTCTTTTTCTTTTCTTTTTTTCGCTCAAGTTTTGCTGCTATTGGATGTATGTGTGGGCATGAGAGTTTCTCAAAAATCAAAAAGGGGGTATGATGCCGAAAAGTTTGGGAACCACTGCTCTAGAGTGTGTTTATAAATGATACATCATGAAGGGTGTGTCTAGACTACAGGATTTTGTCGACAAAAGTGGACTTTTGTTGACAAAAGTATACCTGCGTCTATACTACCGCTGAGTTCTGTTGACAGAACTCGGCAGTTTTGTCGACGGTGGTAAACCTCATTCTACGAGGAATAACGCCTTTTGTTGACAGTTCTTTCGATTGAAGGCGTTATTGCATCTACACTGTCCTTTGTGTCTATACTCTCATGTCAACAAAGCAGCTTGCTTTGTCGACAGAACTGGATGTAGTCTTAGACGCTCTTTGTCAACAGAAGCTATATTGACAGTATCTGTCAACAAAGCCTCTGTTGACAAAAGCCTGTAGTCTAGACATACCTGAAGTGGCAGGAGGGTGTATGATTCTCTAAATATAAACTCACTGAGATTTACCACTGAATGTGGCTCAAGCAATCCAGTGAAATAATTAGGTTTCAGTCTGTGAGGTGTGTGTGGTGGGTTTTTGTAGGGATGTTAACATTAACTGATAAGCATCAGTTAAACTATCAGTTAAACTCTGCTCCGCTTCACTGCAGTAGGGCCAGCAGAGACTGGCAGCCCTACTTCCAGGGAGGCTTCGCTGCAGGTTCTACAGTATGAAGCTTATTTAAACTTTATACTGCAGAGCCCATAGTGCGTGCAACTGCTAGGATTTTTAGCAGTTACACTGATACCTTATTAAAAGGCTTTAGACATCCCTAGTTTTTGGTGTTGCTTTGGTTTTTTGGGTTGGTTTCTTTGTTTTTCTCTCTTTTGTATTTTAATGTAACTTTAATTCAACCCCCTTGTACATATGCATTGTGATACAGTATAAAATTACATGATTGCATATCTTTCCACAGGATCTATGCCACATTCAGTACACAGAATGGATGATGTTCATTTAAAGAGCAGCTATTCAGTATTTTGATGTATCCCCATTGTTTAGTTTGTGGCCATAGGCTTATTTACTGTGCCCTATTCAAACCCTGTTCTAAAGACAGAATTATTAGTTTCCTCATAGCGCCCCAGTGTGTTGCAAACATTAATGAATTGATCTTCATAACACCATACTCTCAGACCATAGGGGTGTTATTGCCATTTCGGAGGTGGGGGAACTGAGACGCGGAGAGATTAAGGTCAAAAGTACCCTCTAATTTTGGATGCCTAATTAGAAATGCAAAGAACCTGACTCTTCGGAGTATTTGTAGCATTTTTAGATAGCGCTATATATGTTCAAAGCACAGTTCCATTTACTTTCATGGCAGGTATGGGCACACAGCTCTTCGGTAGATCAAAACCTAGACTATCTCATCAGTTTCCAGAAACTGAGGTGCACATAATTTGTGACTTGTAACATTTGGGTTAAGTAACACGGGAACTCTCTGGCACAGGCAGGGACAGAATCCATTTTCCAGCGCATCCTTCAATAGCCTTCACTTAGAGAAACATCCTTTCTCTTCCTGCAGTCCCTACCATCATCTGCAACAAATGAGGCAATTGTCCTCCAGGCAACACCTCCATTACTAAACAGCCCCTGGTTCATCTTCAGACTAAGTCCAATCTGTTCAATGAATGAGACAAATTCCATGGGGCAAAAATAATATATGGTCATGTAATTAGACTGCACCATAATATATACTCTCAGGAGCCCAAATTAATGTCAGTCAGTCTTAATTGTGGTATTTCCTTAACTTTTGAATGCTTAACTGAATCAATGGTTCTAGTATTTTAATGTAATTTCTTACATTTTTAAGAAAGCAAAGTGAAAATACAGAAATTCCATCATAGCATCCTATTGACACTGACATTAGTCATCATCAGAGTTGATACCTTCCTGAAGACTCAATTCTTATCCCCTCTGAAGTTTTCCTTCATGCTGCCTAGGCTCAGTGGTGTGGTGTCAAGATCACAGGAAAGACAATCTCCCTGCTCTAATGCCTGGAGTTAGGCCTGGCACAGACCCTGCTAAATTTCAAGTGTCTGCTCCAAAGCACTGGGTGCTAGAACATCTCTGAAACATGGTCTCAGATTTTTTTTTACACAGGCCAAACTCTATTTTCCCTAACAACATTTTCAGAAATAACTGAACTATTTTGCCTGAAATGTTTAAAAAAAAAAAATCCAGCCCTAGGTAGACATCCAGCATTGGCAATTTCAGCTCAAACTCTTGAAGTCTTACAAAATTATAAGCAACAGTAAACAGTGTCTTATAATGGAAAGTGTTAGGCAACCTTAATATCATCAGCCCTGCCTGTAATATATATTCATATAGGGATCACTTAAAATGACATGTATATAGGCCCCACACAAAGGTTTGCTATGGTTTTGCTGTGGGGTTTTTTTTTTAATTAAAAGCTGTTCTGTTTTCACCTGCAAGGTGAGAAGTTTTGTGTAGGTGTTTAAAAAAATCACATAGGGGGATATTCTTTGGAGACTGAAATCACTTAAATCTTTGATAAATTTCACTCTTTTCCCCATAGCCTTTGTGGATTCGAACCATTCTATGATGAAAGGGGAGACCAGTACATGTTTAAAAGAATTTTGAACTGTGAATATGACTTTGTGTCCCCCTGGTGGGATGACGTGTCTCTCAATGCCAAGGATTTGGTAAGTACAAGAACATGAAGAGTAGCATTTTCTCTGATGCATATGTGTCATTGTTTCCCAATGGCAAACAGTGTTGGTGTGGAGTTTTTTCACATATATCTTTATTGAACTTTGATAACCTACCTACCGTATTTTCCAGCGTATAAGGTGACTGGGCATATAAGACGACCCCCTAATTTTCTAGTTAAAACATAGGTTTTCGCCTATACTCGCCGTATAAGACTACCCCCCCTTAAGAGGCCAACCGGCAGCACCCCAGCTGCTCTGCCCCAGGGTCCACAACAAAAGCCTGGTCTGCGGGGGGGCAGGCGCACTAGGTGCCCCCCCCCCCCCCCAGCAGACCAGGGACACGGGGAGCAAAGCGGCAGCGGGGTGCCGCGCCTCCTCGGCTTTGCTCCCCGTGTCTCTTGGGTG